CTGCATCCAAAGCAGCGTGGCCAGCAGGTCGAGGGAGGGGATTCTGCCCCGCTGCTCCACTCCGGTGAGACCCCACCTGGAGTCCTACGTCCAGCTCTGAAGCCCTCAGCACAGGAAAGACACGGACCAACCAACTATTCTGCTTTTAGGAAAAAGCAGAGATTTCCCATGCAGACTGAGCCTTCCTGTCCGGAAATCCTGGGCACTGGGCACAGTTCTGAGCACTGGCACAAGTTATAATGGCAACACTTGTTGATGCTCAAATGTATGAGAAATTCTAAAATCATGTTAATTGCAGGAATTAAAGACCATCCAATTATACCACATACCATGTTATCTTTTCTGGAAATATTATAGTTTAAACTTCTGACTGGAAGATTTTTCAACCAAATACTATAGGTCTTAGCTTTAATCTCCTCAAAAGATGACCTTCATTACTGATGCAAAACACATGCCACAGATTTTTACCTTACAACTGTGTGATCAATCAAGCTAAGCCTTTTAGAACTATGGCCCAGACAAGAATCTAAACATTATTTTATCCATAAAATTCTTGTTGCACTATGGAGTTATCTGGAACACGAGACAGACATACAACAATGAACCAAAGTAGGAAAAAAAAAAAGTATTTTGTTGCAGCTTGTTCATTTGTGAATGGCAATAAGAACAGTTGCATATCCCAAAGTAATACTCATGTACTTATCCAGCTAATGTTTATTAAGCACTTTAAAGATGAAAAATCCTCGAAGTGCGCAGCACTTGCTATAATGAAGAAAATACAAAGATACGGATATAAAATAACACATTGCTGATTTCTTCTATCATGATAAAAATACAAATCATTACTGATTTATCATTAATATATCTATATTGTTCTATTCAAACACACTACCAAGGATTGAAAGCTTTCAAAACTATATTCATAGAGAGATAATTACTGAAGAATGAAATACTGATGATGCTAAATGTACAATTCAGAGTACTGCTAGATGGGAATACAGAAACAGTATTTGCTTCTGTGTGGTTACAGAACTAGGCATTTCATGGTATCTTAAGTATCATCTGTTATAGAGTGCAGAAATGAGTAATAACAACATACCCAAATAGTCTGAAAAATGAGCATACTGTTTGAGAACAGCTGCCTGTACATGTCCCAGGAATCCACCTATGGTGTCCTACGCGCATGCCGCTGTGTGACAGACACTGGCTTGACCCTGGCCCCACTCAATGGCAACACTTGAAAACCTTTGCATTGCACAGGACTGGACACAAGGATGGGGCAGAAGTAGCATAATGAAGAGCGGCAGCAATGGTATGCATCTGAGCAAAATAAAAGTATTTCTGTTTATAGACCATGCTACTCCACTGTCGGACACCACATTTTGGCGTGAACAGAAACAAATGCAATTCAAATTGTGGAGGTTTTTTTAAAATCTTCACGGACAACTCTCTTTGTACCAGGTTCCTGCCAGAAATGGGTCATTTATGTTCTCATACAAGCCAGCACGTAAGGAAACAAATAAAAATAAAAAGGTTAATAAACACAGAAAAAGGTTCTCATCCTTCTCTCCAAATGATTTATTGCTGCCAGAGCTCTAATCAAATTTTAGGTGAGCTCATCTTTTTTTATGCCCTGGAGCCATTTTAACTTAATATTGCTTCCAGAGCCGCAAGAGAGAACAGGCTCCCTGAGCCACCACAGACGCTGTGCTGACATTTTACTTTAGCTGCTTGCTGTAAAAGTCATCAGTATCGCTCCAGTCCTGAAGAGACCTTTTCTAAAAAAATGAAAACAAATTGCTGGCATTAGATCAAACTTTGACCTCTGCAGCCCAAAGAGGGGAAAGTAAGATCTGAACTCCTTGCTGCTGCTCTGAAAGCTTCCAAAAGCTCCTCCAAGCAGGCAAACTTTTTTATTTGAATAAACCATTTTCTGATCTGCCAGGCTGAAGCTGCCTCCCTCTTCATGCTGCCGTATGAGCCAGCCGGCAGGTACAGGCAGACAACCAGGCTCCCACGGGCTGCCTGCACCACAGCCATCCCCTTTTCCAAGTAGGAGCAAGTGTCGCGAGGTCTTTGGGGAAACCACTTCAGAAATCGTCTTTTCATCTGCCTCCTTCCCACCTGTTCCCCCTTCCCATTCTCAACATTCCTGACCTGGGCTCTGTTTTGCCAGCGCTATTCTCCTTCGCGTCTTCGTTCTCCTGCCCCTGGTTATCCCCGGCTCCTGCACAACCTGCTCACGTGCTGATCTGAAGCCAAGTCTGCATGGGAAGAGAAACTGCAGTCCGAAACACTTGCTGATTGCCATTTTCCAGTTATGTACAAATTTCTAGGAGTATTTAAAAACTTTTTTGGTGTTTTTGTGCTTTGTTTTTTCCCCAACTTCTTTCTGAAGGAAAAATGAGTGTGATTACTCTGCCAGATTTCCCTCAAATAACCCTCAGAGTAATTATTTGAGCTCGTCATCTAATTTCCATCGCATTTGACACAGAGATAGAAGCTGCAAAGACATGACATTTATAACGCTTCATAAAAACCAGTGGCTTGAAAGAGGAAAGGTGCGCCCCAGCTCACCTGCCCCCCTGCCAAAAGCCTAAGGTAGGAGCTGGCAGTTATTTGCCCTCTTTTGGTGGCACCAGTCAATCTGCTGCGGTGCCCAGCGAGCAGCTACTGGGCATGGAAGAGGAGCCAAAAGAGATGAGCATTTTGCAGGTGGGCTGAGGCCACAGGGCACACGGGAAGCAAAACATACGTGTGTGGGCAAGCTGACAGGAAGAAAAGCAGATGCAGCGACGCTGGGCATGAAACCATCTGAAAGCATCACTGAATCATTTGGGTTTTTTGGTGTCTCAGTGCTTATAGTGAACCTCCTGCAATAAGTCTGTAGCATAAATAATATATTTCCCTATACTTCAATTTCTCTTTTCTTTTAGTATAAATTATGTGACATTTTGGAAAGCCAGTTACTTTCTAAATGGCAAGGGATTCACTGGAACATAAATTCGAATGATCCTTACACCCTTTCCAAGAAAAGATCTGCAGGAAACTGCAAGCTGCTCCCTGGCATGCTTATCACACGCTCGGACGACAACTATGGGAAAGGATGTATCTGAGCTCAAGGGATGAGCCAGCTTGAGGAATCTGTTCTCAGCCAAGTCTCAAGATCTGAGGATAGCTAAATGCTTAAAATCATCACCACAGCAGGGAGTCTAAACCGTAGTCACAATGTTTTCATTTTTAAACAAGAGATAAGAATAACGTTTCTAACCGAGCAGGCAGTTGAAAGAGCGAATTGCAGGAAAAAGACTGACGTGCTAGAGATTTTAAACAAACTCTTTGACTCATGTTTTCCAAACATGTAAGGAAAACAATGCAGTAAACACAGAAACAAAATTAGCATTTACATCTCTGCATTGTCTGTACTCAAACATAACAGCTCCTGTGCTACAATATATTTAAAAAAACCTAGGATTTCCTGAAGATCAAAGAGCTGCATCTTCTCCAGAACATCACTCAAGTGCTTCAGACCATCTCTTGTATACTTCATTTACAATAATCTCCACTATACTATGTATATGTATTAAACTGATAAATATGGTTTTATAACAACGCAGTAGATCCAGATAATGTCATCTAAGTTGATTTGCACTTAGGTTCAAAGACCCACTATAATAAATAATAAATTATATACCATATAATAAATATGGTATCAGACTGTCAGGCAAGAGAAGTCAGAAGAGACAGATGATCTTTATGCAATATCCCACGCCTTTCTCTCTCAGGAATGTGTAAGCACAAAGTTATGAAAGCAGACACAGTCAGCCACTGCAACACTGACCAAAAAACCACTCATTTTATTAGAACGTAGAACAGCTTGGGGAAAAAAAAAGTAATCAATTGCTTAGTTATAGCAGTGTTTGCTGTGTCTCTGTTTTCCCGAGCGCCTGAGAGAGCATGAACAAAATTGCCAGCAGTCACATTAGAGAGCCAGGTTGATGGGCTGGATGACCCCATAAGTCTCGTTCACGTCTCTCGTCTGGGCTCTTGACTTGCATGTTAAAAGACTTTTGCACCAATGCCTTTGCAGGGAACCCACTTTGCCATTCAGAAGGGTTTCTGCCAAACCCAGACAGGAAGACAAATGCCTTGTCCTACTTGGCACGTCTGTAACAGCAAGCCCTACCGGGAAACAACACCCCCCACCCACCTTGGAGCTACTGTTCGAGACATACTATGAGAGGAGGTGTGCACTAAAGAAACACACAAGCAACTTTAAAAAAATAAATCTCCAAAACCAGAAGAACTGTTTATCCCCTTGAAATGTGAGGACCCTTGCATGAGCACGTCTGCCTTCCCCCAACATGCACCAGCCCAACTCTCTGCCTACGTCCCTCTTACTCTGGTGTCATCAGGAGTGGCATGACACAGCAGGAAAAGAGACCGGTTCACTGTGAGACCTGCTACTCACTCTCTTACAGTGTAACGGCCCCCCTTCCAGCCGCACGTCGCTGTGGGGAGCTGGTCCTGATGGGCACCACCACACAGCTGCTCCTCGGGCTCAGGGAGAGCAGAAGGTGGTGGAGCACGACTGGCCCCTTCTGCATTACTGCAAACCTGTCCACCGTGTAAGGTCTTACAAACGTCTGGGGAGTCTGCATGATGAAGGACAAACCGCAATGGTTGGCCTGAACACGCAGTGTGACTGCTCACACCAGTTCCCTCCCAGTTCTCTCTGTGTCCATCACGACAAGTATGGACACTGAGGACACGGCACTGCACGCAGGACAGTGGTGGCGGAGAACACAACCTCTGCTCTTCCACTGCTTGGCATTTCCAAGCGAAGGTTTTCTCAATTTGTAATTTTCACCATATTTTCAAACAGAACAGTGACCAGCTTTCTCCTCCCCGGTTCGAATTCAAAATTAAACAACAATCAACAGGTTTCACCAGCAAAGGCACTGCGAGCAGCTGAAGAAATGAGTGACAGATGTAAATACCTGCTTGCTGTGCAGTCTGTGGGATCTGTTGACTCCGCTGTGCATTGTATTGAACTGAGGCAATGGGTCTGTACTGCTGAGTTGTTGAGGTAGGGTACTGACCAGATGGGTAATAATACACTGGCATCTGCAAAGAAAGGGAACAGCAGCTAACTATGGACTCTAAAGCTCAATGACTCACAAAATAAGACAAAACTGGAAGGGAAACAAGAGTTAAAGTAAAGCATATTAGTGGCAACTGTAAGCGAGAGGTTTGCTTTGTGAATCTTCAAGAACTGCTGCTTGCTTTTTCAGCTTTGCCAGGAAAAGGGCTATCAATGCCCAAATTTCTTCTCAGATACTTTAAGAAACAGAAGAATTGTAATTGAGACAAAAAAGTACAGGATGCATAAAAAACTTACATATATACACTGAAGAAAATACAATATCAAATGTTGCAGAAAACCAGATGCAAACACCACGTTCCATATCAACATATAGGCAGCATGTCAAACCATCAAGTGAAATTTGGAGAAAAAGGTCAATTCAAAGCAAAGAATGGCCTGGAGTAGAAACATAGAGAGGTGAGATAGAGGGAAAGATGGAGTGTGTGTGCCCCTAACACTTGTAAGAAACGATGATTAAATCCACGCTTTTGATTAACAGCTACATCCTTCCCTAAGTAAACATTTCCCTGTAAAGCCTTGCTCGCACTTGGTGTGAATACAATTACAGTTCAAAAGACAATCACAGTTGTTTTCTTGCAGGAGCTGAAGGTAGGCATTTAGTCAGCAAGTTCTGCTAGGTGGGCTTCTTTTTTTTTATTGTCATTATAGAGCAACATGTACTACATCAACCTGACCACACAGGTGAACATGGAAGTTTGAGGGTGACTGGAGCTAAAGAGTTTTCCTATACATGCTATAACACCATTACTGAGACATTTGAGCTAAACAGTTTTCAGTTGACCCATGGCAAGTTCAAAGCACTCAAAATTTTTCATTTTCAGCTGCAGTGAATGGTGTAGGTATCCGACAGAGTTCAGCAGCCCACAGTATCAACAAACTGCAGTGGGACACAATATTTTTCATATGAAAAATAAGAACTGGTTTTGCCATTTTTATTTCCATGGAGGAAATGTTCCTGAACACCTCATCACCCATGAAGTATTAGCAGATTAAGGGTAACTGCATCCTTTTGTAAACTGCTAGGACACCATAAGAGGGATCAGAAATATTCCTAGAGACAATGTCAGACGAAAAAGAACAGGCATAGATACAAAAGACTAGGTGAGCAGAGGATACGGATGGCTAATTTGGCAAGTAGAAGACTACTGAACAGGTAACTGTGGTGGGAAAGTATCAGGATCAACAAAACAGGACTCAGCCTTGTTGGTGAAGTGAAAGCCCCAGACCGACTGACAGTGAATATCACCTGTCAATCAAGCGGTTGAATACCTACTCATTCTTCAAGGTCTACTCATTTTCTTTTGAATCAGTGGAAACTATTTTTTTTCCCTTCTCGCTCCACCCCCAGTTAATATCAGCGAGATTCAAATAAATACCAAAAAGACAAGAAGGTTTGATTGGAAAACGTTGTAAGCTATCCTCCCTCCAGACAATACCAAGTGACACCTAATGGCTGCAGCTTGCCCGTAAGTCATTTGTTTTGTTAGAGACTAAATTAAAAAAGGCAGAACGCCTCTGTAAAATGGATGAAATCATGATGAATTTGTTTCTCTGCAAAGAAAAGCCACAAGGCATAGGAAAGTTGACCCAGTCATTTAAGGTGCAAAAATCACTCTGTAAACATCGTAGCAGTATAAGTAAGTTTAGTGTGATAAATTCATCTTGTGGAAACCTGTACAATAGGAGACTTAAAAGAAGTAAGAAGACTCAGCCTAAGTCAATGCAAATAGTTGATCCTGCCTTGGGGCAGGGGAACAGAGTAGACGTCCTCTCAAATTTTCTTTATTTTCTATTACCGTATTCTACAAATTAAAGAATATGAAACCCCTCTGGAAATACTCTCACTTCTCCTGGCTGCAGCTTAATCTGACTCGAAGGATTTAAATTTATTTGATTTATCCTCAACTTCCTCATTTTCCTTGTGCCAGCAAGCCCCATGATATTTGAAAATACAGGAGCATATGTGAGAACAATGTGAATTATCTCTTGTGGAAAGAGTCTGTAGGTTTTAACTTTAAAACATAGCCTAAAGAGTATAGGTTTTGAAGTGAGGTTTATAGTTGAACATGCTTGGCAAAAAAACCCATATACATACACTGAAGCATTCAGAGTGATTTGGAAACACTTATTTATGTTTATCACACAGATAAAACCTCAGAGTTAATCAAATGGTTTTCTCCTTTTCTCAGTTCATTGGAATACATTTGTTATATACCCGATTTAGAAGCTTATCAGACTGCAATCTATCAGCCTGAAAAATGTTAGTAGTAGGAGTACTGGGTAAGAAAATCATTTCATTTAGAAAGATTAATAGATGAATTTGCTAGCAATCATGGATACATAAGCTGCAAAGAAGAGGTATGTTTTTTTCCGGTTAGTTGGTTGATTTTTTGGTGGGGTTTTGTTGGAGTGGGGTGTGTGGTTTTTGTTTTAAACATATCAGATATTAAATGAAGGTCTTGGCGTAAAATATAGACATGGATAAAAGAGGTCTTTGGTGGTTGAAGGGTCTGGAAGGATCCATTTTCATTTATCTTGAGTACATCTCTCTGTCAGTAGCTGAAACATACTATTTGTCCTTTCTGATATTACTTCAGTGAACAATGGAACTAGAGGGATCAGAGATAACAAGTATCACTTACATTGTCTACTCTGACCCTCTTGAATTTTTTAGTTTCTCATTACATCAGTGTTACTACCACCTCTGCTTATGTGCTCTTCAACAAAAAACATTACATTTCTGTAGCAGCTTACTGACATGTCAAATTATATTTGAATTGCTTTCCCATGTGAATGTACCATGTAACCTTGGACCTCCTGCTAGTATAACATATTTAATTTACAGAACCAGGACGTTTCCACTACACTAACAAGCATGCTGACACAGCTATATAGTTATCCTAAACCATTTTTTTTAAATATTCTTCTAAGACCATAAACTAAATAAATGTATGCATTCTTTAGTCTAAAAGCATTGTTTCTTGATCTTAATCCTTGACACTGTGAAGAGTACTCCCTCTTTCATAACTACCATTAAAACAGTTGACAGATGATCCCTAGCCCCATGGATATTCTTATTTTGAAGGTGAATACCCTCCTTTTTTCTAGGCTGATGATTCTACCACATCTCTATTTTTTCCTCTCATCCATAGCATTTTCTTTAACTCAAACTGGGCACATCACGCCAGAGACACTCATGAAGTGGCACAAACAGGCATCACTTTTTCCTCCTTCTGATGTGCTTTGTCTCTAGATGATGGGCAGAGACTCGATACAGCACTGACTTTCTGCTTTGTTCTGTCCACATACAGTTCGAAACCCATTACCAGGCTGCGTCTCCCTTGAACTGCTCTCTAACAGCATCCCTTAAATACACTGGTGTGTTGTTTATCTCCCCGTGTTAGGAATAGGATTTCCACACACCTTTCAGGTCAATTTTACTTTCCTAACCTATCTCCCTACTGACTTGCAGCTTGATTCTGCCATCGGACAGGTATTCCACGTTCTCTTAACATTGCTGGTATCCAGATAGGTTTGGATTAACACCTTCACCCAGATGATTATTGATGTGGATGCTATTGCTAATGGCAGCTACAGTTGCATAAATGGGAGTGAAGACAACAGAAGCCACAGTAATGTATGGACACATGGAGGTACCATTTTTTTCCCAGTACCTAACTGACTGGGATGAGTAATTCTTCAAGGACTTTTCTCTTCCCCACCCCCATCCTCCATAATAATCACAATAAAAGCAACAAAAACCAACGGCAGGTATGTCCTCCAATATCATCTTCTGAGATCATCAAGGAAAGACCCACTCACTTGCTGTGACTCCCGAACCTTTTTCCTAAACAAGTTTCCTAGAGGTGACATGCTATGAGTAAAGATTTTGTCTTAACAGTAGCTATGGACTCTCTAGGAGGGGGCATCTGCAAAAAGACAGCTAAAATTATGATGACAAAATTAATTTGGATGAAAAATCCTTCAACATGTGCATTATTTCTTGTGCACACTCCAAGAATTCACCTCATTTTTCGACATCATTTTGCCAGTACAGCTTCCACAAAGAATGAGTCAAAAGTGCAAGTAACTTCAAAGGGAGGGTGTGCTTTCCCATCGGCATAGTACTCGCAGTTTTCCCATTTTTCATTTGCAGAGGCAGAGCAATGACTAGCACCAATGAGAGTGCAAAAAACAAATGTGGATCCTTGTTGAAGTTCCTGGGCCCATAATGCTATAGAAGAACCATCAGAAAGAGAAGAAAATTGAAAATGGAAGAGAAGGGAGAAAGTGAAGATGTATGTTTGCTATCTGTGACACAGAAAGCAAACAGGAATTTGCTGCTAAAAGTCCCTTTCAGCAAACGCAGACTAATGGCTGAGTTTGTTTGGGTTTTTTTTCCAATTAGCTGAACAAAGATAGATCGTTATTTTCAGGTTATTAAATCATGACTCTGTTTTCAAGCTGGGGAACAGCTGTGATGAAAAGCAGCAGCAAAAGAAATGCAAGAGGTCCTCTCGCCACTTCTTAGGCATGTCATTTCAAACCAGTCTGCTTCTGCTTCTCCCAGACTGGGAGAGAGAACCTTGGAGAGCACCTGTAGAGCCACGTTTAATTGAGCTTTAATACAAAAGATAATAATCTAAATGCAGTACCTTTGGGTTTGTAGCTTAGAGAGTGTTTCTTTCTCCTCCTTTCAGCTCCCAAAGGAAATGATTGTACTCACAGGACCTCCACCCTTGCTCTGGTATTTTCCAACAGGGCCCCATAGCCAACCCACTAGAACCTTACCAGCAATGCATTTACAGGAACTAATTAGCCATTAGAGTCAAGCTTTATTTTTTTTTTTTTTAACTGGCATAAATTCAATAGCAACATTTAAGATATAAAAGTGCTTTTACATTGATTGCATTGATTAATGCATCACATAATGTTTTGCATGCATTACCATTTTTATTGGCCTCCCTCCCTCCCCTTTTTCTTTAAGCTTGCCTCAGACCACCTGCTTTGGCATCTGAGAGCAGCTTTACTATTGCATCTAAGCCCAAAGGAGTAATGGGTGATTCGGACTGCCAACAGCCAGTGCAACGCAGTGAAGTGTTGCCCGAGACGGGATAGGGGGTCGGGGTCTAGCTGCCCTGCACAGAAAGCTGATGAACTGTTAGGGCAGAGGAACTACTATTTCCCAAGGCTTAGCTCCTCTTTGGATACGAGAGATCCCATATTTGCCGTACACATGCCACAAGCAGTATCCAAACCACCACGCCACATTCTAGCGCTGAAGAAAACGAACCCCAACTTGAAACGTCGATCAGAAGTTCCCACGCAGAGCGCTGCGGCCTCCTCTCCCTCCCGGCAGACCAAGGCCGCTGTGCCTTCACAATACAGGGACACGGGCAGCCAGGACTGACCCCTGCCCCGTGTCCCCTTTCACACAGGTATTGGGCAAGGACTTTTTGGAACAGCGACAAGCTGGAGATGAATGGTGCACACAGTGCAGCGGGTGCAGGGGAAGCTGGCAGCGCTGCATTTCGCACCTTTCTACACCCGCTGAGGACAAACCATTCCCCAGGGAAATACCTGAAGTTGCTGCAAACGCAAAAGGTATTTTTCTGCCCTCAGTAACTTTCCACTTTGTTACAGTGTAGGAGGAAAGGGCCCGTACACAGCGTGCTTGGGGCACGGACAGACGCTGTCGCCATTGGACACACCAGTACGGTGCTGGTCTGACAGCAGCCTACGTATGAAAAGGCACCTCCTCGTCACTTGTCCTCTGAAGAAGTTCATCCGCCTCTCCAATAGCCCCCGAGCAAACATTAACGAGGGAAAACAGCCCCGCCAAGGCACACCACACCAGACTGAGCAAAAACCCTGCGGCCGGCTGCACGAGCAAAGCTGA